ATCCTACCGATCATTGGATGTTCTCCATCATTGGATAGCATAAAAAAATTTAAAACACAATTATATTATTCAAATTACAATAAAACGAAAATAAGCCAAAATATTAATGCATCATAAACTTATAAATTACTTTTTCACCTGTGAATCTTAATAATATAACTTTAATTCTTCTCGTTCATTAATTATATGAGATTGTAGCATCAACTTTTTAGTTTTTAATTAATTTATTAGTCATTTCTGCATTTTGTTTAGTCGCACATAGTGTAGACTGATCCAATTATTGATTGGGAATTGACAACTGTAAGTAACACTATTAATATTATCGTTGTTGAGAAGGTTGGTAACCACAAGAGTGCAACTGGAAATAATATTCTTGGAATAGAAGCCTTCTTTTCTGAGTATAGCTTTTCGGCAGAACCTGTTCTTCTGATCTATAAAAAATTATTCTTAGCGGTGGTCATATTGTCAATGTTATAGATACTCCAGGTAATGTCCATCATTTTATTGATATATGATTTTTTATTAAGTTCAAACAATGCATAAATATTTTAAAATATTTGATTTTAGAATATTATATGTATTCAATCACAACTTGAATGCATAAATTCTTTGTTTTTGTTTACCTTGTGGTAAAATGACTTCATGTTCTTTAAAGTTTATCTACTCTTTTTACAGCAGTTGTACCTTTCAGTTCAATGCATGGGATAATATTATCATGAATATACTGCAAAATATTTAATAATTTGCATAAGCATAATTATTAAAAACTGAAAAAATTGCAAGGCAAACCTCACTTAGAGGAAAAAATTTGTATGAATTGTAGTTTTTGAGAACTCTAAAATGCATCATTTTTACGATCAAATATGACAAAGAAAATATAATATTATCTCGAAAAATGATAATGACATTCTACAAGAGTATTTGTAAATAAAACTGTATTTTGGAAAGACTGTCTATATTCCCAAAGATCTTTCTCTTATCCTATGAGAGTAAGATAAAGTTCATTTTATTTTGGAGTTACAAGTTCTCTATAAGGGCAACCCCTATGGTTAATTACATTATAAGAGAAGTTAATCTCTTAAGAACACTCTCGATTAAAATTATGATAAATATTTTTAGGATTTCAAAGTTTAAGAAAAGTGTAAGAAACTTTGAATTTTTCGAAAGGAATGGGATGAAAATTGAGCATTTCTTTTTGGAGTCAAAGGAGAAAGAGTAGATAACACTATTATTTAGAGAATGCTAAGAAGTATTTTGTTCAAGTTATTCTTTTATTAGAAAGTTGGGATTTATATTCCTGATAACCAAATCAAGATACTGCCCATTTTAGAGTTCTCAATAACTACAGTTCTTACAAATTTTTATTCTCTAACAACTGCGTCTTGCCTTTCTCATAATTTTTTTTTAGTTTTGATTAATTATGCTTATGTGAATGCATTAAATATTTTTAGTATATTCATGATAATGTTATCTCATGGACTGAACTGAAAGGTATAATTGTTATAATTAAATATTTTTGTATATTCAAAGCACATGAAATCATTTTTTCACGAGGTAAATAAAACTAAACAATTTATGCATTTGAGTTATGATAGAATACATATAATATTTAAAAACATATATACATTGTTTGAACTTAATTAATATTCATAGATCAATAATGTGATGGGCATTACCTTGAGTATATGTAACATTGACAAAATGGTTATCTTTCAAAATAATTATTTGGAAATCAGATGAACATGGTACTGTCAAAATGATATACAATAAAAGAATGTTTCCTTTTCAAGAATGTTATTTTCAATTGCACTTTTGTCATTTCTAACCTTTCTAACAATGACAATATTAATAGTGTTACTTGTAGTTGTTAATACCCAATCAATAATTAAATCGGCTTCTATTGTGTTCGACTAATCAGATGTAGAAAAACTAATAAATTGGTCAAAAGTTGAATAGGCTACTATCTCATATAGTTAATGAACGAGCAGAATTAATGTTATATCATTAGGATTCACATGTGAAAAACTAATTTATAAGTTTGTATTTTCTTGTGAATGTCTTTTTTGTATTTCTCATATTTGATTATTCACATCCTTTACAAAACAACTGTCTTAGCTTTTGGAGTTATTACAAGACACTATAAGTATGCCTATCATGCTCAACCAAATAGAATAGCACAACGCCTGTGACTTCAATTCGCATGCTAGGATGGGAAAATAAAAGGGTCAAATGGGGAAGAAGGCACGCATGCGTGTTGCCCAATCCTAAGCTTGGTCGAATATTGAAGACACACATGACCTGCATCCTTTTCCTCATTTTTTTATTAAATGGCTGGAATGAAATGGGAAGGGTAAAAGACCATCTAATCCCTTCAATGCTCTTAATCTAATGATTTTCATGAAAATAAATATTATCCATAAGAGTTAAAGTTGTTGCTAACAACAATGAGAGAAATCTAATAAAAACGTGACAAGCTTATATATATAGATATATATATATATATGGGGTTTGGTTTAAATTTATTTAAAACGAGTGGATTATGAATTGATTAAATTTGGCTTATCTTCATTCGATTTATCTTGACTAAAACTATTTCGATAAAACTTATGTTTATGTTTTGGGCTTTGATGGTATTAACATATCTTAAAAAAATTCATAAATATGTTTGTGTTTGAGTTATGGTCATCTTACATAAATTCAATGAAAGATCTATAGTTATGTTAAATACGTATGAATACTTTATATTATCAAATTCATGATAAACAATCGATTCAAAGGTGAGTGGCTATAATGAAACGTTTGTCACATATTTGAATTTTTATGCTATACACGTATTTCACATTACAGAATTCGTAGATTAAAAAAAGGATTTATTTGTATATTTGAACTATAATATTGATTCATTCAATGCGAGAATATGTAGTTATCTTGAGTAAATATTTCATGCCTTAATTTATCATATATGATTTATAATTTTACTAAGTTTACGTGCTTGATATCTTGATGATGTACATTTATACATGCTCAATATATAAGAAATTCAGTGACAATATTTTAAAGATATAAGTTCTTCAAAGGATATGGTAATAACTTACACTTATTATCATTATAGTATTCAATTTAGTTTATAGTTGAAAATAAAAGGAGTCGGTAGTTATTTGTTAAATGTTTATGATTATATCATAATGGGTGTGGAAATTATTGAAGTTGTCTTCGAATCGTCATTATCATTATGATTGATCCTTTTCATATGTATGCATAGTCTCCACCATACTTTTTTTATGTGCTTCATATAGAAAGCAATGAGTATTGAAATAGAATGAATAATGGAGATTGAGAGTTGAGATGAAATAAAGTTGTTCAATTGATTATTCAAATATGAACCTGTGATCATCAATGCGTCGATCTTGTGTTCCATTGATTATTTGATGAGCTTGGCTAGATATATTCTTTTAAGTTTCTGTTAACATGGGAGACGGTGAATATATTTGATGAATGAAGAAAAACATATAGTATTACTCTTTGCTAAGCTTTCTAGGATAAATAAATACTTGCAGATGGAGTATTTTTTGAGTTACATGAAATTTTGTTAATTTTTTTAAAAGAATAACATCATTTCTTTTATACATACACATTAAACTTTAGATGCATCATGAGATGTGTGCAGATTTTTATTCCTTTTGTTTTTCAAATTGTTTTGAAAATGAAACAAATGCTGATTTTTGTTTTTTATATTCTCCAAACTGTTTTGGAAATGAAATAGATGCAGTTTTTCTCTTTTTTTTTCTCCAAACTGTTTTAAAAATGAGTTAGACACAGATTTTCATTCCTTTTGTTCTCCAAAATGTTTTGGAAAGGAATCAAATGCAGATTTTCAAGATTTTTGCTCTCCAAATTATTTTAGAAATTAAATAAATGCATATTTTTGAGATTTTTGCTCTCCAAATTGTTTTGGAAATGAAACAAATGCAAATTTTCATGATTTTTGCTATCCAAACTATTTTGGAAATAAAATAGATGTAGTTCTTCATTTTTTGTTATCCAAACTGTTTTAAAAGTGAGGTAGAGAGATTTTCATTCCTTTTGTTCTGCAAACTGTTTTGGAAATGAAATAAATGCATATTTTCAAGATTTTTGCTCTCCAAACTATTTTGGAAAAGAAACAATTATAGATTTTCATGATTATTACTCTCCAAACTGTTGTGGAAAAGGAACAAATATAGATTTGAATGATTTTTGCTCTCCAAATTGTTTTGTAAATGAAACAAATGCAGATTTTCATGATTTTTGCTCTCTAAACCGTTTTGTAAACAAAGTAGATACATATTTTCTTTCTTTTTGCTCTCAAAACTATTTTGGAAATTAAATGGATGCAGTTTTTTATTCTTTTTGTTCTCCAAACAATTTTAAAAATGAGGTATATGCAGATTTTCTTGCTATTTTGTTGCTCAAACTATTTTTAGAAATGCAATGGGTCTTATTTTTCATTCTCAAACTATTTTGGGAAAAATATAAATGCAGATTTTTATTCTTTTTATGCTCCAAACTATTATAGAAATGAAATGAGTACAGATTTTCGTTCTTCTGTATCCCAAACAGTTTTAAGAACGTGAATTGAATGCAAATTTTTAAATTTTTTAATTTCCAATTTACTATCAAAGTGAAATAGGTATAGATTATCATCATATTTTACTTTCTAAATTGTTTTAGCGATGAAATAGGCATTGGTTTCTATTCTTTTATGCTTCAAACTGGAAATAAAATTATTGTTAAGATATCATTAAATCTTTTTTATCTTGAGTAATCAAGTAAGGTTGTGTCTACACTTTCTTTTTTTTGTCTCAATTCAGTGCTTAGTACTTGGTTAGAAAATTATTATAAGTATATAGAGAAAGGTGAAATCATCTTTTAAGTTCAAACTTTGCGTTTATTCAATGTTGTTGGAATAATTTTAGTGGGGCATGATTATTTCGGCATAATGAAATAATAAGTGCCTGAAATTATGTTCAGCATGTGTATTTTTGTAAGTATTTTGCTTCGCTTTTGATAGGAAGTATTTCAGTTCGCAAGTAACCCCAAGGGTAATACTTGAATTCGCAAGAAAACCTAGCAAGAATCGGCAAAAACGAGTAAAAGGGTTGATTTCAATGAGAAATCAGCAAGAATAAAGCAGGAATTTTAGTGGATTGGAGAAGAAAACACAAGGAGATACTTTGATTCAAACAACAAACAAGAACACAAAGCAAGATACAATTTTCTTTAATTCGAGAGAAAGAAGTACTCTCCAAATCTCTAGCAAATCTAGAGCCCAAGAACACAATCCCTAGATCTCAAAATTGCATTCAATCTCAAGATGGCCCTAACCCTAACCTCCAAAAGACTAATTAAAGCCAAAGGATGTTTACAAAATCTATAAACAACCCCTAATTCAAATTTTTCCTCCTAATTGTTGTTTAAAACAACAAGTGGGCCCCATTGAGGCTTTCACCCCCTTCCCTGGTTCCGCCCCATGCTAGGCCGCTAGCTGTAGACTTGAATCGGTCCATGTTGGACTGGTTCAGCCGGCCTGGTTCAGTCGGCCCCTCCTGGTCCGACCACATAACATTACTCCCCTCCCAAAACTCACCTTGTCCTCAAGGTGAAAAGAATGAAACTGGAATCTTACTCTATCGTATGGTTCCCAAGTGGCCTTGAACTCGGGAATGTCTTTCCATCTGATAAGCACTTCCTTGTTCCCCTTTTTATCCACTCTGACTCCACCTAACTCCAGTAGTTCCAAGATCACTTCCAGTTCCTCTGTCAGTGCATTTAGAAACTCCGCACTAACGGCATGCTCTCTGTCACGACCCGGTCCGGTTAGCTCGCAAGTGCGAGGCGGAACAGAGGTCGGACGGGAAAAGAGACAAGTTACCATAGCATAACATTAAATCATCCAACATAAATTAACATCTTTATTATAAAAATGAAAGAACCACTAATGCAAATCCCAATAAGTTTTCATTTCTCATTTTCATTCATCTTTCAAAAGAAAATAAGTACAAAGAAGGTTCTTCCAAAAGAAAGGATCCAAACAAAACTAATCCTCACAAAAATCTATATATACAACCTTCTATCATCAAAATAACAAAACTCAAAAGAACATGCCGCCCGTCATCTCCCTACGACGGTAAGTACGCGGTGGTTGGTCTGCCATCTATTCTTTCCTAGATCCTCCTGAAAAGTGTTCCCACAACAAGGGTGAGTCATAACTCAATAGGTGCGAATGGAATTCAAATGAATTTAGAGCCAATAAAAGGAAGCTATAACATGCTTTAGTATTTTAACAAAAGAATCATTAACAAAGACCAACTTTTGCTCAAAGAGATGCATACCTTTTTTCTCAACCTTCAAGTTCTTATTCCTTTCATGACATTTCCATTTTTCCTTTAACATTTTGCCTCACATGATAATCTCAAATGCATATAACATGAATATGAAATATTCATATAGTTTAATATGTAAATATAACACCCGTCTCGGGAGTATCACTTGTACTGATCATGTACATAAAATTTGTCATTTCTTTTACTATTTGTTCATAGGAACCATCCTTTACCATGGCTCTTCCATGGCTCGTAAGAGCCTTCTTTACCATGGCTCATAAGAGCCTCCTTTACCATGTGATACTCCCGCGTCAACATGCTCATACACTTATTACTTATATAACCATAAGAGATGCTTTATGTAAATCATTCATAAACTAACCAAGTGTATGTTTCCTTAGAGATACGCATGCTTGCTATATTTATGTGTGCTTTTGCATGTAAAGAAAAAAGACATGTATAGTAAGAGTAGAGAAATGAGCATGGGATCCATTCATGAATTGCACATTTGCATAAAGAGAACCTTTGCATTTGCTTCAAGTATCCATGAACTTTCAAGGGAACATGAGCCATAAGAGTTTCATAAAGAGCATAAAAGAATTCGTCATTTCTATGTAATTACAATGAAAGAAGAGTTGACTAAATTTATAAGAACTTTCATTCCACCTACCTCAATCCGTGCACCTCTTTCTTTGTCGGATCAAATTGTTTCCCTCCACACGGTTAATATCTAAAAGAGACATACAAAGAAAAGCATAAGTAACTAATCCCTATACAATATCCTAAACCCCTAATTCTAAAGTAATAAAAGGGTTCTTTCTAATGTCATAACTACGCTTTCAAGTTAAACCCCTCCACCATTCATGATATCTCTCACTTCCATTCACTCTCAATTAGGATTTAGTTAAAATCATGGATCTTATATAAGCAAACATTATTCCTACAACCAAACATTAATTAAAAACATCCTTAATTTTCAGATTAAAGTAAACCATAATTTAGAAAAACTTGCATTTCATGACAAAGCCCTATAATAGTCTCTAAAATTCTTCCAAAAGCCCATTAGAACTATAGGGATCAAAATTCTATGATTAGGGACCCTAAATTTCAAAAATCAAAACTTTCATCATTCTTACAATATTCTTCAATTAGAAGTTTCCCAATGACATTAGGAATTATTCTTAAGAAGGCATTTGCAAAGAAAATCCATTTTAAGTAAAACCCTAAATTTCTCCAACTCAAAACATTCTAAATAAAACCACATTCTTAGTATAAAAATATCTCCTAATTATTTCATAACAATCTCCCATTAAATTTTTTAAAGAAAATCAAAGTTTTCTCAACCCTAGTTTTCAAGGGAAGGAGGAAACTCAAGCAAAACACATACCTTAGTCTTCCCTTGGATTTCCCTACGTGCTCCTCCACGAACGGCCGCCGGAAACCGCTCCCAAGCTCGTCGAAATCGCCTCTACCCGCGCACTCCCCCTCTCTCGTTCGGTTCGGGCCGCACGAAGTGAATGAGGGACCGAAATGTTTCGGTCCCCTATTTAGAATGGAAATGTTCTCATAATTGCAAAATTTACCTATGTGCCCTCACTTAAAACAACCCATGCTTGAATAAACATTAGGGGTATTATTGGGATTATGAGACTTCGATGAATTTTAACTCCTAATTTAAGCAAAATCAAATACAAGTTTTATATATCATATTTCTTAAAATTTTGCGTAGAATTTTTCAAAATTATTTCCATCGAAATCCGACAAACTTGAATTTTTCCACTTAAAACTCGTCGCGACACTTTGAAAAGCGTGTGAGGTCTAAAACAGCATTTTTTGCGGGTTTTACACTCTCCTAAAGCTCTCCTCAGCTGCGACACCTGGTAAACTAGGGTTGTAGTAGCCGTTGGGGGTAACTTCAATCGATATGCTACTGCTTTGATCTTGTCCACCACCTCGTAGGGGCTAAAGTACTTCGGAGCCAATTTCTCGTTCCTCCTATTAGCAACTAATTTCTGCATGTGGGGCCTTAGCTTCAAGAACACTTTCTCCGCCAATTGTATGTCTCTCCTGTGTGTATCTATCCGCTTCTTCATGATTTGTTGTGCCTTCCTCAAATGTTTCTTTAACTCCTCCAACACCTGGTCCCTCTCCTCTAAGTATTGTTCTATTAGAGAGACTGGTGTGTTTCCTCTCCCAAAATGCACTAAGTGTGAGGGGTCTCTTTCATAGAGCACCTTAAAAGGAGTCATTTGGGATGCAGAATGGTACGAAGTATTGTACCAATACTCATCCCATGGTAACCATTTGGCCCACTTCCATGGTATTTCAGAAGAAAAACATCTCAAATATGTTTCCAAACTATGGCTCGCCACTTTTGTATATTCATATGTCTGTGAATGATAGGCAGTATTTCTCTTGAGAACAGTGCCTTGCATCCTGAAAAGCTCCCTCTAAAATTGGCTGAGGAACACTTTATCTCGATCAGAGACACAATCGATTCAGGAATCCCGTTTAATCTATCCACTTCCTTTATAAATGATGCTACCATTGATATTGCGGTTTATGGATGTGGTAAGAGGATAAAATATGCATACTTACTAAGTTGGTCCACCACGACCAGAGTGACTGTGAATCCCTCTGAGCGGGGTAGGCCGTTAATGAAGTCCATGGACACTTCCTTCCATACTCTGTTTGGAAGTACTAATGGTTGTAGTAATCCTCTCGGTGTCATTGCCATATATTTATTTCTCTAACACACCTCACACTTTGCCACCATCTCCTTAACATCCTTATACATCCCCTTCCAGTAAAGCTCTGATGCCAGCCTCCTATATGTCCTCTGTACTCCTGAATGACCCCCAGCTGGACTACCATGGAATTCCTGTAATAAGTGAGGAATGTGTACGGATGTTCGTGGCATCACAAACCTCCCCTGATGTAACAACCTCTCCCCCTCAAGATTGTATCCCGAATGACTGTTATTATCTTTAATCAAATCCTCCCTGTTCTTCTTCAACTCTTCTTTTTGGATGCTTTCTTCATTGATGGCCCCCAATTAAACCATTAGTGGTACTGAAACTGTCAACTCCTGAAGTTCTTTAAGACATCTAGATAAGGCATCAGCAGCCTTATTTTCCACTCCCAGGCGATATTGGATCTCAAAATCATTGCCTAAAAGCTTTGATAGCCACCTATGATGTTCCTCGGTCACCACCTTTGCTCCAACAGGTACTTCAAGCTCCTCTGATCCGTATTAACAATGAAATGCCTACCCAAAAGATAAGGGTGCCATTTATGAGTGGTCAAGACGATGGCCATCAGCTCTCTCTCGTATACTGAATTCAGTCGAGCCCTTGTCGACAGCACCTGACTGAAGTAGGCTATAGGCTTGTGATTCTGCATCAAAATTGCCTCCAAGCCATATCTTGACGCATCGGTCTCTACTACAAAGATCTAGCTGAAATACGGAAGAGCTAACACTGGGATTGTCGTCGAACGGCTTTCTTTAACCTCTCAAAAGCCTGGGTTGTTGCATCTCCCTTCAAAAAATTATCTTTCTTTAATTGCTCAGTCAACGGCCAAGTGATGGTACTATACCCCCTCATAAACCTCATATAGTAGCCAGTCAATCCTAGGAAACCCTTCAACTCCCTTATGTTCCTAGGCATGAGCCATTTCTACATTGCCTCAATTTTTAACTGATCGGCCGCCACTCCCTGAGACACTACATTTCCCAAATACTCCACCCTAGACTGGGCGAAGCTGCACTTCTTTAGGTTAGCCCTCGGCTGATGTTCTTGTAAAATTTTAAGAACCTCTTTCAAGTGCTCTAAATGTTCCTCTGTTTGGCTCTAAATGCTGCCAGAACACCCTATTCATCAAAGACTAGAAAGTAGCATAGGCATTAGTGAGCCCAAATGACATCAACAAGAACTCATAGTGCCCCTCGTGCGTTCTGAAGGCCGTCTTCTGAATATCCTCCTCTATTCTGATTTGGTGGTAGCCCGACTTCATATGCATCTTAGAAAACTCTACTGCTCTATGCAGCTCATATAATAACTCATCGATCACCGGAATAGGAAATTTATCTGGTACCATCATCTTGTTCAAGGCCATGTAATCAACACAAAACCTCCAACTCTCACCCTTCTTTTTGACCAGTAAGATTAGATAAAAGGACTCACACTTGGTCTGACGATCCCTGCCTCCAACATCTCCCTAATCAGCTTCTCAATTTCATCTTTCTGAATTTTGGGGTAGTGGTAAGGTCGAACACTAATCGGTGACACCCAATCATTCAGAAGGATTGCATGCCCCTGCTCTCTGTGTGGTGGTAAGCCCTAAGGTGGCTGGAACACTTCCCTGAACTGCAGTATGAGTGGTTGCACCACCATTGGAATGTCTCCCTCTTCCCCACACTGACTCTCTCCAAGCGTCGCCTCCCCCAAATACCCACCTCCCACCTCCTGTATGGATATGATCATGGATTTGAGAGATACTCTGGCCCTGGATAGCCCTGCATCGCCTTGGATCACCATCCTCTATCCTCCCACCATCAGTTCCATTCTCAGAGCACCCTAGCCCCAAGGTCTGCAGTCATTTCATCCACAGGATGACGTCAGTACTTTCTAACTCTGAAGGAAGAAAATTCTCCATCACCTATATCCCATGAATGATCAACATCACTCATCTGCAAACTCCTCTCCCCATCACCACTTGTCTAGTACCCACCATTATGTCGTATCCTCCCATGTCCACTAATTTCTCCCCCAATAGATTTATAATCTGATTAGAGATGAAATTGTGGGTGTCATCAATATCAATCAGCACCACTACCTCTTGATCCCCTATTTCTCCCTCACCTTCATGGTGTGATTTGGTGTGAATCCCACCACAGAGTTTAGAGAGACTTCTACAACATCCAGATGTAACTTTTCTTCTTCCTCCACTATCCCGCTCTCGCCTCCCTCTTCAGTTTCCTCGTCATCACAGACGATGAGAACCTGAAGAGTTCGGTCCTTACACCTATGCCCTGACATGTACTTCTCATCGCACCTGAAACACAACCCCTTAGCCACTTCTCCTAGTTCTCCTCCTTAGTCAGCTTCTTAAACTTTCCTCCAAGCCCCCCTCCTCCAGACCTCTCCTTTGGTACTTCGCGTGATCCTCTCGGTGCAGCTCCTTTGGGAGCTAGAAAAGTAGTCATCATCCTGTAGGATCCCCCGGAGCTACTACCTAGAGCCCCCCCTCTAGATGCTTTTGGTCCTCGACCAGCTTTGTCAACTCCATGGCCTCCCCAAGTTGCGCAGTCTCATCACTCTAATCGTTGCTCCGATCTCCGGTTTGAGCCCCTTCATGAAGTACCCCTCAAGCACGGTCTCAGAAAAACGATCCAGCCTGCTAGCTAGGTACACAAAACAATCATGGTATTCTGCCACTGTCCTCTCTTGCGTCAGGGCAAAGAATTGCTCGTAGAAATCTCATCCCCCACTGGTTTGAAACGTTCTAGTAAACAGTCCTTAAACTCCCTCCAGCTTCGAATGGGTTGCCTCATGTCCCGCCATTGGTACTATGTCAGTTCCTTCTCTTCCTAACGCAGTCCTGTCGCGTCAATTTCTCCTCCTCAGTCTATCTATTGACCGCAAATTATCGCTCCTTCTTATAGATCCATCCATGGGCGTCCTCGCCCTCAAAGATGGGCATCTTCAGTTTCCTCACCCTCGGGTCTCCCCCGTCTCCCCTAACTCCTCCATAACCTCCCATTCCTGGAGGAAGAAATGCTCCCCAGTGGTCACAATCTTCTCTTTGACGATCATACCTAAGCTCGTCCTCATATACCCCTCTTCTCCTTTCATCCCTTCTCCCCAAAAATTTTGCACCCCTTCTCTTATAGCCCATGTTCATCTCCTCTCTAGAAAGTTGTTCTGGAGGAGGCATTCCATCATTCCCCTCAAGGATCTCCACTTATGGATTCTCCTTCCCCCAAAATGGGTTCGGATTTCCGCATCTCCCATTGTCGCCGGTGGTCTCCCTTGCGTCCGACGTCGGATTTTGTTTGCCCTCAAGCATCTTCTTCATCATGTCTTCCAAGGCGGTGAACCTACCATCCATCTTTTCATGAATGGAGACAAATTGATTTTGAAAATCAGTGGTTCTTTCCTCAAAATCTGTCTTCAGTTGGCATATTTCTCCCTTTAATACTTCAACTTTCCTTACGGGCATCTTCCTTCCCAAGGTTTCTAAGAAGATTTATTGTGGATGAAATTTACTTACTGAAATTTCTGAATTTCAGCCGCCGATAGTCCCAAGAAAATGCTCTGATACCAATTTGACATGAAGTACTTGAGTTCGCAAGTAACCCCAAGGGTAATACTTGAGTTCGCAAGCAAACCTAGCAAGAATCGGGAAAAATAGCCACTAAAAGGGCTGGTTTTAATGAAAAATCAGCAATAACAAAGCAGAAATTTTAGTGGATTGGAGAAGAAAACACAAGGAGATACTTTGATTCAAACAATAAACAAGAACACAAAGCAAGATACAATTTTCATCAATTCGAGAGGAAGAATTATTCTCCAAATCTCTAGCAAACCTAGAGCCCAAGAACACAAACCCTAGATCTCAAAATTGCATTCAATCTCACGATAGCCCCAACCCTAACCTCCAAAAGACTAATTAAGGCCAAATGAAGTTTACAAAATCCCAAAACAGCCCCTAATTCAAAATCTCCCTCCTAATCGTTATTTAAAACACGTGGGCCCCATTGAGGCTTCCACCCCCCTCCCTGGTTCCGCCCCATGCTAGGTCGCCAGCTGTAGACCTGAACTGGTCCATATTTTACCGATTCAGCCGGCCCCTCCGGGGCCGGCAGGTAACAGCTTTATAAGACAAATCTTTAAAATAATGTTTTAATGTTCATGTTTTAGAGGGATGAAAAGCGAAACAATTAATAGATATATGCTTCATATACAGTACATATACATACATGATTCAATGTGAAAAACAATAGTTTGGTGAAAGTCTTCTTGCTAAAGTGCAAAAGCAGTGAGAGGTAATGATCATTGACTGATCTGTTTTATGTCATAAGGCTTACATATGTTGTTGTAGTTGTACCCAATAATTTTCAATTTGTCGTCTTGCTTAACAATTACAAAATAATAGTATCCATTTCCAAATTTGGAGGATCATAAAGCAACCCATTCATCTAAAATAGTGAATTATAGTGGTTTATTTCCTTATGGCTATTAGAACATCACCCTCTAAGTCTAATACTTTGAAGCAGTATACATTCAAACTCATTATTTCCATGCAATTGTGTTATTCATTAACTATTTTGCTTTTATTGGAATAATATCTTTTTGATGATATACTCATCCACTTAAACTTGCATTACTAAATTTCATATGAAAAGTTCTATATAGTTTTGTATATACTTGATGTCTAGCAGCAACTTAAAAGAAAAAAAAAGATGGTCCTTCAGGTATATAATTATTCATTCATATTCTTTTATGATTATGTCTTGGAGGGCTCATCTTGAGAGAATATGATGTTCTTTGTTGTCAATCAATATAAACTTTCTTTATGCATTGGATAAATGATGTGATTGTGGTGCCATGTAGACTGCAAGGTTCTTGCCTATTTCTGATACCGTTACAATGGCTTTTTGGTGTTGATGGTGCCTTTATAAATGAAATCTGATATAAATTTTACGGAGTGCTTCTAGGTATGTGTTTCACATTAACCCCTTTCCTGTAATGATTCTTTGGAAAATTCAATTTTAATGAAATGGGATTTTTGTTGCATTCGGTTGATAAGAGCTTCTGCTCATATTTTAGCTGAGTTTCAACAACTTACTTTTGAGGATGGAGATTGCTTTTATGATAAAAAAAAAATATAAAGTATAATATCCATTACGTTTATTTGATATAGATTTTGCTTATTCATTGCTCAAACCTATAGCTTTTTATGAGGAATGCGGACATTGATCTGATATTGGATAAGTTGTAGAATTTTTTTGATTTCAATGCATATATCTGATATGAATCCCCAAGAGACTGATTGTCAAGTTTAAATGCATCATGTTTATATTATCTGGAGAAACAAGTTTGTTGTCAAAATTTATAAACTGTAAGATATTTGCTCATTCTATGTATGCATTGATAGGATGTGATGATTGTCGTTCTTTGTCAATGGTTACTTTTTGTTGGTGAAGAGCTATGCAATAATGGATGTTAGTAACACAATGAACATATACTATACTTCTTAGCATCTTCTCTTCTCCTCACATTAACACTAGTTTAGTCATTTTATATGAATTGGTGGTGATAACTGCATAAACATTTACAAACTAGAATGATTGAGTATAAAACCCACTTCACCTACGATCCCGGTGGGTGATGTGGAGTATATGTAGAAGCCTAGGCATTAGATTAATTTAGTCTACATTATTTGCATTCGCATCACACTTCTTCATAAGCATATATATAATTTAAGTGTGGCATCTTAGTGTAGATAACGTAGGTGCACTATCCCTTAGCCTATGCACCTCCCAATTGTCATTCTAAGATTAGGTTCCCCAACCTCTTGGCCTACGAGATCTCCTTGGATGAGATAACCCATGGTTACTGACAAAGATCCTTAGTTTGGCACTCGACCTGTAGGTTATAGACATTGACGAACCCGGGACGATGGGCGACCATTGGATCTTGACCGGTGGCATTATACCTGTGAGAGCTCGTTCCTTCGATTTGCTGTCTGAATCTGATTTTTCTCCTAGGATCGTCCAGGACGATATTGAGATCGTCCAGACCGATCAGTGCATTGAAAACGGCTGATTTCTGGAGTGTTTCTGGAATGATTTCTGGACTGGATCGTCCAGGCCGATTTTGGATCGTCCTGGGACGATCAGTGCATGCAAGAATCCCGAG